TAATGTCTTCATACACACGTAAATGTTCTTGATTCTAGACACTTTGACGTCTGGATTCAGGGATTTTCTTCGGGATTCAGGGGTCATGAGTCGGGATTCAGGAATTAATCACGGGATTCTGGGATACTTTGTCGGACTCTGGGGTATAGTATTCCACAGTGCTTGTAGGACACGTCACAGCTCCATTTGCTGTCCATCTCCTCTTGGATCGTGAGTCTTGTGCGTAAATAGTCCTTGTTGGTGATGTTCTCAAGCTTGGGAATGACGTTTTAGGGATTGAACTAAGGGAATACGGGGTATTTGGTACAATACGTTTGCACCAACACTTTCCACAATCATTTGTAATCGTGACGAGGGCGAATCTGGACTGAGCATCGCAATGCTTCCAGACTCTAAGGCCCATCCTTAGCTCTTCTCCAAGTCAATCGCTTCTCTCACACTTTTCTTTCCACACATTCACCCTGGCGATCCTGTATCCATTACCTAATTCCTGGATATCCATACAAATCCTTGCTTCCATGAGAAATTCCGAGTCACTTCGTGTCAACCGTCCCTCCTAACCATGGCTGGTCATTGCAGAATTTTCATTCAAGCTGGCAAGTCATGTCTGGGATCACGAAGTCATATCTCCATTCTCACCCTGAGTCCAAGTCATCTATGAAACCCATGTTCACTTCTTCTCTGAGACCCATTCAGGCTCCCCTGAATCCGGCCCCCAATTCATTTCCAAGTCCGTCCATCAATTCATTCTTGAATCGAGGTCTTGAATACCAATATACCGGTAACGGTCGACACCCATCAGTTCATCAACGGTTCGAACTTTCTTCAGAGAACGTTGCCACTTCAAGATTTTCTTCGTTCGACACAAGTCGCCTCACTCTCCTTTCCAGGATGGTCCAAGGTACTCTCCTCCCCAGCTCGACACCTCCTACGGCGCCGACGTCTGAGGCTACGGTCGTCCCTGCCCAAGGAACTGACCCTGCGCCCGACAACACGCCGTCTGCCGACGCTGACACTACGGACCCGGACATTGAAGTGCCGTCCGCCACGGTACCTGCAGACATCCACTGGTGTGCTTCCTCCCGCCAACTTCCTCACGCCTGCCGAAGTGGAAGAGATGTCGCTGGCTGGCGTAATCTCCGGGGTCCCGACGCTTGCAGACACTGGCATGAATTTGGCTCCCGTCAGCAGGGATGCGCCGCCTGTCTACAGAGGCCCCGAAATTCATCTGGTCGGCGTACCTGCGTCGATCGTCGCGATGCAAGGTGGCGCGATAGTGTACCCCGGACATGGTGGCCTGGAAGTACTGCTGTGCTTCGAGAGTCTGGACGCCACGGACCTTCAAGACCCCAACGTGCTCATGGGCGGGGACGTTGCTGACTGCCTGCTGACGCTGCGAGAGCGTGTTGCGCCTGTCTCCCTCGCCGCTGAGGTGAATTCTATTGCTGGTCAGCGCGAGTTGGCTGCGCTGTTGGGTCCGTTCCCGTTGGATCGCCTGGCGGAGAGGATGATCAACTCGTTGTCCTTCATTCGCCGGCTCCTGGACAAGATTCGTCATCTCCGGGCAGCCTCAAAAGCCGAGGGCTGCGACACGTTGTCGTCTGAGACCCTGGTGGCACGCGAGAATTTCAACATCATGCGTCGGGAGTGGACCGCCATGTGTCGGCACTAGGGTCAACGCGTGCGGACTCTTAAGCAGGATCGCATCGATGGCGAGGATTTCCTACGCCAAGGTCATCGCGACGCTGAGTTCCATCACCAAGCGCATTCGGGAGCTGACGGACCAAGTCGCTCGGCTCCAGGCCCAACTACGGGACTCTGAGGCTGCTCGTCAAGCAGCTGAGAGACGCGCTGCGAAACGCCTCTTGGACGTAAATGCCCTCGTGGATTTCCTCATGGGTATTCAGTCAAAGATCAACGTGATGTTCAACTGGATGCGCCTCGCGGCGCTCCTTCACCACTTCGCTGAGGGCACGCCTCTTCCAGAAGATTGGCTCACGAACATTAATGTGATTGCCCTGGACGAGCCACGCGGCGAGTGTCCTGAATACGCGAGACCTTCTCCCAGGACCGACAATGGTGATTAGTCGTCGGGTTCTCCGGGTTCAAGATGTCCTAGTGTCCTCGACTTGTCGCCTCCTGCACGTAACAAGAGGGCTTCGACGTCTGGGTCGCAGACCGGTAACCAGAAACGGAAGGCATCTGCTGCGCGAGATGCACCTTTGCCCAAGCGTCCAGCCTTGAGTCCGGCTCGGGGCCCGGATCGTGGGGTCAACCGTCACCTCCGTCCTCGGGGTTATTCGCCCAGGAACATGTTGGTATACTCGCCCAGGAACGTCCCTGACGCTCGGGATTTGGCAGAGGCCGGCCGTGCTCTCCCAGCTGGGTTGCTCTGGACTGACGTCCGCGAGGAAGTTCAACACCTCTTGTTGTCCGGGATGGACTTCAAGTTCGCCATGAAGTGGGTCTCTGATAGTCAAGGTATTCATCACCTTGCGCCTCGGGAATCTATCTGTCGTATGTCGGCCTAAGTGATTCACGCGGATCAGCTGGATGAGACTCCCTGGTGTCGTTTGTCCCAGAGGCATTCTACATCAGCGCAGAGGGGATCCTACGACTACGCCAAGCCAACCGGGAACCAACTCCTCCTTGGCATCCTTCGCGTCGTTGCTTCATCAAGGTCCAGAAGCGAAAGCAATCGACACGCGAGAGAAAGGCTCTCCAAGCTACACTCTCAGGATCCTCGGACGATGAGACTCAGGATCCGTCCTACGAGTTGTCACAGGCGGAGCTGGACAAGGCTGCACGAGCCGAGGCTGCTGCCGAGAACAAAGAGTCGAGCGAAGAGTCCGACGAAGGTGAAGAGGACTCCAAGCCCGCGGCAGCGAGTCTGAGCCCTGCCAATCCTCGTGAGCCCAAGACTGTAAACAAGAGTGACAGGGGTGGCGAACCCATGAGCCACGGTGCGTCTGCGAAACCCAAATCCCGTGTCATTACCAGCCCAAGTCCCAGGATATTTCGCAATCTGGTGGCGCTCCTCGTGAGCGCAAAATGCCTGCTCTCTCCGTTGCTACATTCCTTCGTCGGGCCAGGGTAGAGGTTTCGTCTGAGGGTCCAAGACGTATCCGGTCCAAGTTGGCTAAATTGGCTTACGATGACCTTCAAGAGAAACACTTGGACACGGTGGAGGCTGCATGTCGGGAGACTCACGTCTCTTATCGTATCTTTGGGATTCTGGTGAAGTTCGATCCCTGTCAACAGTCCCTGGAGTATCCTGACTTCGAGCCACATAAGCCTGCCATCCACATCTTGAAGGCACGCTGGAATCTAGAGGCTTACCATGCTCTGGTTCACGTTCCTAGACCGTTAATGGGCGTGCTGCTCGGGATGAAGATGGCAAGCTCATCAGAGCACCCTGGACCGCAATGTTCTACGATCGCATCATCGTGTTCTACTTTCACGAAGTGCGTGACCTGAACTCTGAGACGCTCGACGGGATCAAGGATTACGTGGACTTCATGCGAATCAACGCCAAGACTTGGTCGGCGATTCTCCACTGGTTAACCATCTCCTTCTTGTCGCGAGATGCTGCTGTCGCAGATGCCTCCCGTGACTTGTATGACGAACGCCGCAGAGACGTCAAGCGGCTTCGGGCACAGTACGAGGCTCTACTCAAACGACTGTTTGCGATCGCTGGCTTTCCGAGGACGCTACTGAACGAACCTGGACTGTGGACACTTCCTGTGTGTACATGCCACTGGACCCTCAAGGACCCTGAGCGTTCGCCTCTTATTCGCCTAGGGTCGCTGACTACGCTGCTCAGCTTGACGACTTGGACGCGGAAGATCCCGTCCGTACTCAATGGGCTGCGGCACACTGCGACGATGACATTATGGCCACAGTCCCTTCATTCATGCACCCGAAGCTTATGATGCCCGAACGCAGAGCCCGGAATGTGATCCCCTTATCTGCGGCGTCTCAAGCGTGCACTCCTTTCGTCAGTTGCTGTTCTCCACGTACTCTGGATGTCGGAGTCATTATCCTTTCTTTATGTCTCAGGAAGGAAGCTCGTTAATACCAAAAAATTTCCACTTCTCGCTCTCGTATCTTGACTTCTTTACCACTTAAGGATAATATTTGCCATGACACTCACTCACTCACACATTGGTCATTCTCTGAGATCCTCACTGGATCCAGGAAACGACCACTCACGGTTCTCAAAATCGATACCATCCTGTTCACACATACAAGTTCCTTGAGCCGGGCTATCTTGGGCACTAGTTCCTAGGGTGATCGTCTCCAGCTTGCATAGCTTGGAAACGCGCTCTTGCTCTGGCGCCCTTGTCGAACTCATATAACAATGCCCCACAATTAAGTTGGGCCAGAGGTATCCACTCTGGATCCTTGTATCCTTCCCACTTAATAAGGTATTCCCGAGAACCCTTGGATGTTCTTGTGCGTTTGATCCACCTGAGATCCAGGATCTCTTCGACCTCGTACTCATCCTGTGCCGTGTCCGGCTCCCAACTATCTTCAGGTAGCAAGGCTGCGTCAAAATCGTCATCTTCTGAGACTTGTTTCTCTGAGGTCGGTCGCTTAGGGAACAGAGCTCTCGATTTGAGACAACTAATGTGGACCCACGGATTCACACGGTAACCCGTGCCTGGAATATTGAGCTTGACTCTGAAGTCGTAATGTATTTCATCGATCCCGAAAGGTCCATGCCACAGGTGAGCTAACTTGCGGCTCAATCCTGTGCGGACTTTGGGAATATACAACCATGCAGAATCGCCGACTTCGTAACCTGCCTTTACACGATCCGAGAGTTCCCTCCACTTAAGAGTCTGTGCAGCAGATCTCGCACGCTTCACCTTCTTTTGCAAGTCTTCAGCGCGCGCAAGGGCATAGCTATAATTCCGTTGCATCTTCCGACGCCACTCCAAAGCCGTTTGTTCTTGGAGTGTGGATGGCTTCGGGCCCAGCATTGCAGATATAGTTCCCTAAGCATCCCAGCCATGGACTAAGTAAAACGGGGTGTCCAATCTTGCAGCGTCGAACGAGGTGTTCAAGGCGAACATGAGACTTTCTGTATGCTCATCCCAGTCACTCTGGTCAACTTCAGCGACATACGCTCTGACACTTCGCATTACAGTTTGGACCGAGCGTTCCTGCTGTCCGTTAGCCTGAGGCCGGTATCCTAACGTCGCACGTCGCTTACTTTTCAGGAGGTCTCTGAATCTAGCGAACATCTTACTCATGAAGCGGGGATCCTGGTCATGGCTGATCATAGAACTTGCCCCAAATCGTCGGAATACGCACTCCTCGTATGCCTCAGCGACATCTTTGGCTTCGGTATTCCGCATGGGCTTGCACATGACGAATCCTGAGAATTGATCTTGGAACAGCAACAAATATGTATTTCCACGATCGGACGCAGGCAGCTCAGTGACGAAATCCATAGAGACCACCTCGAACGGATATCTCGGTTCCATATTGCCAGGTGACGGGCCACGGACCGGTGGTCGCCCCTTGGCTGACGCGCAATCTACGCACTCTCTCACGAACTTCTGGACGTCGGCGTACATCCCGATCCAGTACAACTCTGAACGTAAACACTCGAATGTCCTGTTGATTCCTTGGTGGCCACCCGAAACGTCTTCATGTGAGTAGTGTAACATGTCTGCACGCAAAATCTCTGGGACCACCAGTCTGAGTTCTGACTGTTTGTTGCGGGCCTCTCAGGAGTGGGCGTAGTCAGCCTGTAAAGGACTTCTCGCGAATCCAACACAAGCTGATCAGAGACCTTCGCAATCCTCTTCACCTGTGTCCGTGGAAGGTCTGCCACATCTCCTTTTAGAACCTTTTTAATTTGCTGGATCCACCGATCTTCGTCCTGGTGAACCTTTATTCTCCTCCAACGTTCATCCTGGTATCCCGACTGGTCTACAGGAGTTCGGGAACCTGTGTCTGCTTCCGCGCGTGATCTCGTCATCACCATCAGTGGTTCAGGAGCAGCAGCTAGAGACTCAGGTATTCCGGCATCAGGGTGTGATGCAGCGCTTGGAACTTTTGCTCCCAGGCCACGACGCAAGTGGGTATTTGCGTACGCACCAATGGATCCGAGTGTGAGAACCGAAGTTCCCGTGGATAGACGGCTCCTGCTGGACGGGGGATTTGCCCAGGGCCGTGGATTCCCGGGGAGGCTTGCTACGAACGAGTAAGTCCCGGGAAGCCGGTCAATAACCTCACCTTGTGTACCCCCTTCGAAACGGTTGTTTGGATCAGGGAAAAGTCAACCACTGAGGACTTCCTAGAAGGTCCCGACTTTATAAGTACGCCAGATAGGTAGTATACAAACAATCTCCCGGGGGCACTACCTAAGCCCAGGGGGAGGAATTAATACGCAACTAGAATATGCACTCTGTATCCTTCGGAGAGAGACTCCACCGGCGACGGCCGTCAGTAATGGCCGAGACCCTAGAAAATGGGTGAGACCCAGGAAAAATGAAGTGCCTACTCGTGCCGGCCAGACCGCGCTCCCGGATTAGCAATATGGAATGCCCGATGTCCTCGTGGAACACCTGGCAAATGAGCTTTAAAGTTTACCTTGGGGAGTTAGTCTCCAGACGCGGACCCCCGGGCCGCGAACTCTTCCTTAGCTTGGTGACGCTTTGCTTTCTCGGGAAAGCCGAAGAAACGAGCTCTGCGCACTAGAAGGGAAAAGTGAGACTGAATTATTAGGTCGCTGATTTGTGGCGACACGTCGACAAGAGCTAATCCTAAGATAAGCTAAACACTGGTTTTCACTATGGGAAGACTTGGGGCCACTATGGACCGGATGTTTGGGAGATCGCCTGTCTGACCCACATTCATCGCCCAGATTCCTCGACCAGCTGCGGTTGATCGGGACGGTACAAGTTCCCGGGTAATTCCCGGGAACCGGCACCCGCAGTTCCCGGGGAACTAGGCCTTCTCCGGAGCGGGTACTCGGGGACCC